GGTAGAAATAATCTGTGGCTCAGGCTTGGCTTTCCCAAGGCAGCAGTGCAAATTGTTTTGACTACTGGTTGCCATAATCCAAGAAGGGAAGGTATAAATGTTGCTCTGAGGCAAGCTAAGATAACTCAGCATGAGGGGAGGAAGCCAGAAAGAGCCTGCCAAAGTGAACAAAGTTTTCCTTGGTTTCAGACCTGTTTTGTGAGGACCAACCTCAGTATTAACCAGAGATGCCTTGAATGATAAATGGAAATCCAGTAGACTTAAATCCCTAGTAGTGGGAAGAGGATATTAAAAGCAGGATTTCTTGGGGCACAACAGCCAGATCTGGTTGCCCTTGGTTTTCAATCCTTTTCTTTCTCCACAGGGTAAATCAGTAGGAGGAGTCAGTAAAAGATCCCGAAAATGGATCTAGCCCAGCAGGAGAAAACATACTTGAGGAGCTGCTTCTCAGTTGCACTCATGTTTGTTTGAACAGGTTTCTGGATTTCTTTTCCCTAGATGAAAGCCAGACTTATGGACAGTGCAGATGCAAAGACCTCCAGGCTTTTATGGGTTGGCTTAGCTCTGATGTCAACACAAGGAGGAGCGCTGGCATGGCTCACTTGGTGGGTCTATTCGTGGGACATCATGGAGCCCGTCACATACTTCATCACTTACGGGAGTGCCATGGCTTTCTATGCCTACTTTGTTCTTACTAAACAAGTAAGTCCTCATTTTGTAGATGTCTGGAGTATTGTGAAGGAGAAAAACTGACTCTGAAAATCACAATGTTTGTGCTCTGGTGAAAAGACAGTTCATTAAGTAGCCTTGCCATCAGACAGGTACTTCTTTGATCCCTAATGGGGCTTGATAGGAAGATTACATTATGTGAAGTCAAGCCAGTTACTGTTACACGTGAACTGCAGACCAGCTGCTGAGCATAGCTACTTTCTGTAAGATTTCAAAGCCTAGGGAATGAGAAGTGATGAAAGAAGTCTCTCCTTTTATTTTGAATTTCTGTAGATCATACTGAATAGTAAACAGCACCTTGCCCATTGCTGCAAAAGGAGAGCAACCAGTAGTGCTGTGCCAGTTTTTGAATGCCACCTTCCAGCAGGTCAGGAAGCAAATCACTGAACAATAGCTTTTATTTGCTGGAATTTACGTATAAACAGTGCAGGGTGCCAAACTTTTTGGAAATTGGGCAGTTGCATTATTGAAATTACCTAATTTAGTGCCTGAAAAAAATGTTATTGCTTTGTTCTTCATAATCTGACTGCTTTTCTTTGGCTTTGAATGAATGGAGGTAAATCCAGGCCAGCTGAAATGCGGCAGGAAACAGGCACTGTTAAGAAGAAAAAGGCTTGCCAAGTAACAAAAATCCCAGACCTTAACTGACTCGTACTGAAATCCTGTAAGACTTCAGGGAATGTTTATTTGTCCTGTTGTAGCTCTGTACTTTCCTCCCAAAGTGGACATCCTGATGTCGACCTTCCTGTGATGCAAAACTTTTTTGTTATGGAGGTATGTGGAAGAGTAAGCAACGCTTCCTTCCATTATAACATTGCATCTATAGACCTCATGAGACATCTGGTGCCAAAGGGGAGATATGTCTGGTTTTGAGCAGCTATTTCTGAATGTCAGTTTTACTTTCTCACTGATTTTTAAGAAGGGCTAAGGCATCCCTACTTTTTGTAAATGAGTAGATAAAGAGTTACTGCTTGGTTTTTTGTGGTTTGTTTTTTTTGAACGGCTGGTGGTGCCGTTGCTGGAGACATTTGTTTCAAGTAAGTCTTTTGAGAAATAGTAGCTGAAATTTCTCTGGCTCCTTGGAAGCAGTGTCCATTGACTCAGGCAGCTCTAGTCATGAAGATCACACTATGTCTTTTTTATTATTGAAAATTCTTTTAGATGCGATAGTAATGATTCCTACCATGTGTCTAAAAGGCCCTTATGACCTACAAGGGCATAACTATATGTAGCCTCTTACTGCACGTGTGTGTGTTGAACTACATAAATCTTCCTGAAACAGAACAAATGTCTATTGAAAACTCATTTGTGGAGATGGTATTATGACCTCTACCCATTTTTCTTACTAACCTCAAATATGCACCTTGCTTTCTTCACCAGGACTACATTTACCCTGATGCTAAAGACAGGCAGTTCCTCCACTACTTCTATCGGAAATCCAAAACCCAGTATTTTAATGTGGAACGATATAACAAACTCAAAGAAGACCTAGCAGAGGTATTAAAAACAGTCCTTAAATAATGAGGTAGCCTCTGGGTTAAGACTTTTTCAGTAAATTCAGCTAACAGAAAATCAACCTCAGGATCTGTTACTTACATTCAAAACAGTGTATTGCTTGTCAGCCATTTTGAGCTGTTTAAATAATCATACGTTTGCCATTGATGTATTGTGCAAACTGCTTCAGTAAGTCATCAGAAAGGAAGCCTTTTATGAATTTAATTTCAAACAAGTCAGTTTATCAGCCCTACACATCCATTTTTTGCATACTCAAATAAATTGCATTTTCAGCCACTTTATTAGAATACCTGTGTTGCTTTTGGAGGCAATTTGTTTGCACTGCTGTAATACCACAGTCTTTTCTCTTCCTTGGAAGAAGACTGTCTGGCAGAGTGCAGCCTTTGACAACAATCGGGTTCCTCAGGTGAAAGGCTTAGATTTCCATCTAGTCACCCATATTCTGTGATGTGTATGCCTGGGAGAAACTTCACAGTCTTCATGTAAAAATGTACCAGATCCCACTCCTCAATTCTCACTTCCCCATTCCATCTCCCCAGCCCTGTGTTCAATGTCTTATCAAAGAAAATTGAAACTACTCCTAATTGTAGTTCAAGAGACATTGTTTAGGATATCATTTCATGAACTACATTTGGCATAAGCCTTGAGTTTGATGCTTTTTCAGTAGCCTATGAGTATGAATTTAGTAATTTCAGGAAAATACTACTTTGGGGTGTAGGTGAATGGGTGAGTGGGCTGGGCACACGCTTCTCTCTGGAGACTGAATGAATGATCCAAGCACGTTTGTAAATGTTCAGCGTCCTCCATTCGATTAGTTTGGTTTCTTGCATAAGACCAATGCCTTCTGAGAAAGGAAAGATAGTGGATGTGTGAAAAAGGAGAAAGTGGAGGGCTGCAGAAGGATGAACTCTCGCTCTTTCTTGCACTGGCAGGCAGAAGAATCCCTGAGACGTCTGCGTCAACCTCTGCACCTGAGACTTCCAATCCAGGAAATCAATGACAAGGACTGACTTTGGTTTTGTATATATTAGAATTGTCCTTTCAAAGCTGTTATGAACATTTAGTTACTCTATAGAAACTGGATATTTTTGACCACTATAGTTTTAAAAGTTACAATAAATATCTATAAAAATTATTTGGTCACGTGAAGGTTTGAGTTTGTTTGGTTTTTTTTTTAATCCTATAAAGAAGCTGCTGATGCAGAGCTTTTCAAGATATTTGTTAAATCTCATTAGTAAAATCTCATTAGGCATTCTGCCTGCTGGTAAAATGACAGGGATGTTTTATAGAACAAGGGCTGTGATTTTAGTACCCCTTAATATAGCACAGTAATAGCTCATTGAATAATGAACTTCTGCATTTACTATTAAGGATTTTTTTCCTGAAATTACCGTTTCCTTTTCCCTAGTTCTGTGCATTGACTCTGTTGGTGTAACACCATTAGTGGAGGTCAGACTTGCAACACAAATAAGCTTTTTTAGTAAATATTGCTGGAAAAGTAAGATACATCAAACTAATTTACTATAAAATAATTTATGTTTCACTGTTGCATTTTATTGAAAGAATTTATCAAAATATTAAAACATACATGATTTATACAAAGCTTAAAACCAGCCATTTAACATGTGTGACACAGAACATAGTATATGGAAAGATTTAACTAAAGCAGCACCAGTAAATCCATTATTTTACATCCAGGAAAATGGATTAAGACACTTTTCTCAGCTTGAGTTCTCCACTGTCCCCCAGAGTTAAGCATATTAATCAGTTACCGATAATGTAAAAAGTAATTGAAAAAATATTCACTTCTAGTTGGCATCATTGAAATGAATGACGCTGCAGTAGTAAGAATCCTATGGTGAAACATCCTACGGTGACAAATGCACTGTCACTTTACGAACACAGTGACAAGAGTATGGCTTATCTCCTCTGGGGCCAAGGCGGGAAGAGGCTGATCCAACACCAAGGCCTGAAGTATGAAGGTTTGCATATGTTGTATTTCGCAGAGCTGACTGGAGATGTGCAGCAGTTTTACGTCACCCTGGAACCTTGAAATGATTTGCTTTAGCTTTGGAGATGTGTACAAAGCAAGCTTACCCAAAGTCATGCTGAGCAAGCTGTACACGGGCTCATTTCACTACTTGCTTTTCTCCGGAGGATGTAAAGCACCAGCAAGCTTTAATTGTGCCCCAAACATAAATAATGTGCAAGGAAAATGAAGACCTTTATTTATATTAATGCTACAATTGTACTCAGCGAATTAAGTTCCTTTTTAGTGTTGGGAGAAAATTTTAAAAAGTCTAAAAAGCTCAATAAATCCACAAAAAATGGAGGGGGGACACTGTTGTCCATAGATTTAAAAAGATGCCCTACAAACATATTCCCTGTAAACTGTGCTTTTGGAGCAAGAAAAGCTAATCTAATGCAGCATTTGAAATAGTAAATTGCGCCATGGTTAGCAATCAAGCAAAAAACTTCTAAGAAAAAAGGTAAACTCAAGTACCAATTTTAGTAAGATCTGAGCACCTCCTAATAGTTTTGTATTAATAAACTTCCCAAATTCCCTGAGATGAACAGAGCTGTAATAATAGCTTTAAAATCACTTTAAGATTTTTAGAAACTATTACATATACAAATCATAATGTTTGATCCCAGTGTTTTTGCAAAAAATCTTGTAGAATATTAGCCTCCTGAACTAAGACACTGTTCCTCACTTCTGTGGTATTAGTTAATGGTTGTCATTGTAAAATAACAATCTACTTTGATTTTGGATGAAAATACAATTTTTTAGTTAACATTGAGGCAAAGCAAGGAATCTGTTTTTTCCCTATAGCATTAATATCTCTGCATAGATCTACTTTGCGATGAGATACTTTCCTGTTAACAACAGTAAGAAGTTCTGTGAACTCCAAGGAAGAGCCGTGCTTCCGAAGTGCCTCACACAAATCTTGAATGTACCAGGAGCCATTTACAATTTCACGATGAGAAAAGTAACCTATTGTAGAAAATGAACATAACATTACATCCAAGTGTAAGAAGTGATGCCACCTGAAAAACAGTCATAGGAGTTACTGCTCACTAGCTGCATCCATAAGGGATTACTAATAGGTGTAAATCTTACTTTGCCAGTAATGTAATTTCCCTGGAAATGTAGATGGGAAATGGCTTTGAGATCACTTACAGTGCTCAGCCAAGAGAAGCATGGTTCAGGGACTGGTAGCTTACAGGATTGTGTCTGCACATTACAAGAGAGCAGATGGGACTGAGGACAAGATAGATGGATGACCAGAGAGGACAGCCATGTAGTGCAGGGAAATTTATAAGGCACGGGAATCCTACAGTCCTGGAAAAGAGGAGAATGCTTGCTGTCAGCAGACAGCTCAGCAGCAAGGCTGAGGAGAATGTTTCAGCTTGGCAAATTAACTGCAACCTTGATGGTAGTTTATTTTCACTTTTGCCTTGACATGTGAGGCTCTTTCCCAGATGAGCTGTCACTTATCAGACATGCAAAACAGATGATCTGGAACTGCACTCATTATTTTGGCTGAAAAATGAAGAAGTGTTCAAGCTTGTTAGAGTGAGGTATCGGCCATCAGATGTAAAATACTAGGACTTACCTTGAGCCACAGAGTAGCACATGATAAAGTCTGCACCAGCAGGCAGGGTGTAGACACCAGCTGCATCCATTTCAGTCTCATTGACAACGGATTCATTGCTGTCAATTGAATCCTGAGCAATAACCGGATCATCATGTTTATCACCTCGACATGCCTGTTGGTGAAAAGTATTGTTATGCTTTCACCTCTGCCAAGCTCACCCATGTTAGTATGATACTTCTGACACTGATCAGAGGGGACTTCTGTTCAGTTAGGTGTTCCACATTACCATGAGTTCTGCATTCATGAAGACCCATTTACTTCTCTATCAGTTAAAGTATTGGTGGACCATTTGACACAGTACTTGTGATGCAGCCTCACTAGTTCTGAGTAGAGAGGAAGAACCACTTCCATAGGACCTGCTAGCAAGGCAGCACTGGATAAATGCTCTGAAGTGCAGCCATCATTATATGCTGTTACACTTCTGCTCTTAGCTCGGTCTCAAATGTGTTAGTTGAGGGAGGGTTGTTTTGTGAGAAGCCGTAAGTGAGCCCAGTAATGTCAATGTTGCAGAAAAACTGTACATGGAGGATAAGAAGGTAAGAACATGCTCGAAAGATACAAAGTAGATAAGGAGCATTACTTAAGAACTAGCATGAGAATGTAAACATTAAAATGCTCTTTGATTTACAGTGATGAAATTCCATCCCTGCTGTTTCCTCAGATTTCCAAAGGTAAATGCTATGCCAGTTGTGCTGTAAAAGAACTCCGTTGATGAACTGAACTAGATTAATTTGCTTTTTGGTGGGTATATATTATAAATGTTTCCAAGTATTACTTATAAATAAACTTAAAATTGAAATATGTAAATATTTTTCCACCTTTGGCACCTGGTTAAAAAAAAAAATCAAAGCTGAGTGAGTCCTAATGAAAGATGAATTAACAATGTGCTGATTCTTCCAGTGGCCTTGTGCCTCAGGAAGCTTTCATTTGAAAGAAAAAAAAAAAAGTAATTCCTAGAATTACTCTATAAACTACTACAATTACAATCTGCTGAAGGCCAGGTTGTCATGTGAGTTTGCTAGTTATAATCTGTATAAACATGGGATAAAGCCCTGTGTAAACTGGTTGGACACTGTAACTGACTCTGCTTTGAACAGGAGGCTGGACCAGAGACGACCTGAGGTTCCTTTCAACTTGCATTATCCTGTGAACCAAGGAGTGAAACAGGAGGTTACATATGGGCTTTATATGACCACTTAGCACAACCAGTATTTCTGAGACAATAAAGCCTTAAATTGATTCTTTAAATCCTACAGAGATGCAAAGTATTGGTCATGGACAGAAAAGAAATCAAACAATAAAAGAAAAACAAACAAAAAAAAGATCACCACCAAAACAAACCAAATGAAAACAACTTCTGTAAGGATCAAGTAAGGGGCCTTGTAAAGGTAAGAAGGTTTGATAGCCTTCTACAGCCTAGCCAAGGGCTGTGAAGTGTGAACAGTAAGAACTGAGCTGAGGCTGTACACAGCTTTCTAAAGAAAAAGGATACTGTTTTCTCTGGATTAAATATACACTGACAGTCAATCCAACATGGGCTTAATTTGGGTTGCTCTTCATAAAATTGCTTCTTATTAAATACAGCTAGAATCCTAAGGATATCCTTATGTACACTTGTGTACATAAAGGTACAAAAAAGAGGAGAATCTTCATCTTAAATGCCTTTCTAGAAACAGTTTTCCATGCCTTCTTTCATAAAAATGCAAAAACTTTCCTTTGTGGAAAGACTGTATCAAGAAAACTGACTTCTGTATTAAAAGAAGAAACAGGTCAGTGTTAACCGCACTGAATTCAGAAACAGACATCTTACCTGTATGATAAATATCTTGGGTTTTCCTACCAGACTCTGGCACTCGTCTCCTCTGAACATGTTTGTGATTGTCTCAAGTTTGATTGGAGCATCATGTGCAAAAACGTGATCATTCTCACCATGACTCAGGAACACACAAACAAAACAGTCAGCATTGCTGTGGTCATCCTTAGAGGCTGAAATAGTCAGATGGTGTTTAAATGACTAAACAGTGATCTTCAGATTTAAAAAATGTACATTTGTATCATAATGTTTAATCTCCGTTCAGTCGTTTTTCAAATGAACCTTATTTTCAGATAGTGTAACACTGCAGATTTGAAGGTGCAATGATTCAACATAGTTGAAGGGAAGGGACACTAAAAGTAAAAAGAACGTTATTAACTTCTCCCAGCTGCAGGTACTTTCTTTCAGCTCTTAGCAGCTTCATTAGTTCTCTCCACAGAAGCTTCACTTACATTGCAAAAAAATAATCTGAAGTCTAGCCTTTAAGACCTTCTAATGTTAAACAACTTTCTGATGCACAAAAATTATTTCAAGTTAGATGAACAGAGAGAATGGAATTAAAGGTATCTGGAAATTCTGCTACAAATAGACATAACCAATGTATGGTCTCCTACCTTCAAAAACTTTCTGCAGAACATCTTCTGCTTTCAGATCATCAAAAAGTTTTACTTCAAATCCAAGGTCTGTCAAACTATTGTTAAAACACATCAGTATTAGCAACAATCTTGCTCAAATTATACGTCAGTTGCTACCAACTCAGTTGCTTTCCCTGTGAGAGAATGAATATTCATCTTTATGCATTATTTATAAAAAAACCTACTAAAGTTGATTTTGAACTCAAACTGGTGTCAAGTGCAGGTGTATTACCTAAAGTTACTCCAAAGAGTTTGTCCTAGGAGAGGTCTGGACTCACTGAAATCATAGGACTTGTGCCAGCAGTTTCTGTGACTAAAAAGAATGTGCCTTGAAGCTTTATTATTATGGCCTGCTTTGCCAAGGTTGCATAGGTGCTTGACTGCAAAATCTTTTGTTCTATACTTACATGTAAGATTTAGGCAACTGCTTATTTCACCATGATTTCTGAAGTTTGGCTTTCTAAGCTTTAGTAGAGAAATAAAGTTTCTTACTTGCGTTCCAGATTGTTTCTGTCTGCAAGAGTCCCACGTCTGCCTGGGAGCCTTAAATGCCATAAAAAGTGCTCATGATTGAAGATTAATGCAATCCCTCTTCTTTGATGGTTCATGTTGTATTGCACTGCAGGATCAAGTGTTTGTCTGTTGCCAGAGACAGAAAACATTCTTGATAAATGAGAGAATGGCGAATGGAATTCCCTTCCTGTATTCCTGCTAGCTAAGATTTTTTAATTGACTAGAGACTTTGAGGATCCAGTTTCACAACACAAGACCTCAAAATGTGCATTAGGAAGGGTCTAAATCACTAGGTCTTTCGGAAAAACTTGGGCATGTTAAGCAATTCAATAAAAACAAGTATTGGGTGTGTACTAGGCTCTATCAGGTAGGCTAATATTAGTATTTTCTCTTGTCAGGAGCCTGCCTCATTAATAACACAGTAAGGCATATAACAGTGCACCTTAGACTTGACTACAATTCTCTATGTTATCTGTTTAGCTAAATGTTATTTTAACCTAACTGGAGAGTGCATATGTACTTATTTGGAACTGTAGCTCTCTGAGATTGGCTTCCAGTTTGTCTAGCTAAACCAAGTGCTGTATCATAAGCAATAGACTATAAACTGGTCATGATGTGGTATGCATAGTGCATCTTGCAAAAGGAGAACAACTTTATATTATTTACCCTAACAAAACAAAAGCTATGACAATGCAACTGTAAGTTTGTAGCAACCAGCCAACAAAATCCTAAAGCTGAAGGACAGTGTTTTTCTGAAGGACAGAACAAATGACCAACTCAGCTTCTAAGTAGAGGACTTTAAACTATCATGGCAACAAACATATGGGGCACCTGTGTGTTTGGAGTAGCATATTCAGCATTTTTATTGTCGTGAGCAAAACACCACATAGACGTCTGTGGTAAGCACACTATGGACTGTACACTTGGGCCCAAAAAGTAATTTCCAAGTATTGGTATGGCTGTATTTAGAGAGATAAAGCAGACAGTCTTACCGCTTTTGTAAACAGGTATCAGTACAGAAAACAATCTAAAATGCTTCTGGGAACAGCCCTGGCAATGGACAAGGCCAGTGCTGTAGATGTACAGAATGACAGTCCAGGTTGTGCTGGCTCTACTCAGAGCTGTCATTTTTGGCATGTTACTATTTTTTCCTGCTATGGAATGTTCAGTTTTGGTGCAATTGGTGGTAGAAGTTGCTTAGAATATTTGCCTGCAGACATTACTTAAAGATCACAGTTTCATCCGCAAAATGCTTGTTTTGCTACAAGATGGCCAAAGTTATCCATAAACTGTTTCTGCTTCTCCACTTTATTATGAGCAGCCCCTTAATAATGCATCTTTTTGTAGTATCTGCATAAGAATTCAAACAGGGAAGAGGAATTCTGGATGATTCTTCAAAGTCTGGAGGTTTCTACAGTGTTTGCTGGATAACCAGTAAGAAAAGTGAGGTGCTTTATCACACACTCTCCAATTTGAGTACTTCACATGATAAAATGCAAAGATTATATTAGCCCTGTAATTATGAATGGTACCTCACCTGAAATAGAACCAGAGTTTACCCGGATCTTGGCAATTTATATTCCTTAGGATTCAGCTAGATATTGGGCTAGTAGGGATTTTGGACAGTTAAGTCCCTAGATCCTTTGAATGACCATTAAAGGATGGTTCCCTAAATAGTTCTTCCTCTGCTCTGCTGTATTCACTGAGTGGATGAGGCAAAGGAAGTCATCAGGGAGGTAGTTTACCTTTTCCAGGGCTAGATGATGTTGTGAGGCATACGAACAATTCACAAAATCACAATCCCGTGGCCCCTTTACCCTCCTTCTAGAAGAATATATTCCTGTGCTATACTTTTTACCACTTAGTCTGCCCAATTGTTCCTTAGACTGTGATGGTATTTTTGCCACAGTCTCTGCACATTGCCTAACATAAAAAGAGTCCACTCCTAAGAGTCCCTTCTGCATGTCTTCATGATAAGAAGGGTGGTTCTACATCTGGTGTAGCTAAAACTAGAAACATGTTCTGTAATGGGGTGGAGTTGAGTTGAATAATCACATTCTTAACAAGAATCAGAAAACCCTGCACTGACCTCAGTGCCATCTCTCTGTCATTGCTATCAGAACTTTACCTCGTATCAAGAGCATCTACTTCTGTGATGTTTTGATTTCCATCTGTTAGAGAGATCAAAAAGTGGTTTAGCCACTAAATCATTAATTAATAAGAAACAGTATGAACTTGTGCATCCAGCCTTAAAGTTTAGCTGTTAATGTGAACCAAAAGCTCATTCACACACCACATAAGTAGGCATGCAGTTAAACAACTTCATTAGCGTTTGTCCGCACCTACAGCTTTTGGAGTCTGTTCTTAAAGTTTTTACTCCAACAGTCTGAATTTTAGGTGGTCGAGACATGCATATTTTACAGTTCTCTGTGTAGCTGTATCTACACGGACATACTCAGAGATTACGATTTTATATAACTAACTAGCTGGCTGCATTTATTTAAACAGAGTCTCTAACTCAATAGTTACACTTTTTCGTGACCTAAAAATACACAGGTGTTTTTTATGTCAGTAATGCTACCAGTGGAGTTTAACTACCACTTTATGAAAACTATGTACTATATTGTACCTGTGGTGGTTAATGCGGGTCTGCTATCCAACTGGACATGGCCTGCAATTAGAAGAGAAGACAGGTCATGTATACATATATGTTACAAACTGATTTGTATATGTGATACTACCTTTTCACATCTGTTTTTCACATCTGATTAAAGCCTTTTGCAAAACAAACTATAATAGCGATGTGCTGATAGAGGAGAAAAGTTCATAAAAACATTAGAAAAATCTTGCAGCAATCTAGAATTGACTTCAGAAGATTTTCTGTTGAACACCATAACGCAGGAGAGTAGGGGATGGCCCAAAGGAAGTCACATGTCTCCAAGTATTACTGTTTACATGTAAAATTCACACTGGCAAGTATGGATCATGCTTTCAGGTGTTGAGTCTTAAAATTATTACTAGCAACCTGAACGCACAAGAAAAGCTATTTCAGTTTGATTGAAACGTAACATATGGGTCAGACTAATGATGAATATGTCTGTCTTATATGAAAAATAAGTGTAGATATGAAAAATAAGGGTAGATAGAACATAGCAACAGTACCTGTGCCTGTGACTTGATAATATAAAGCCAGAGACTGCATCTATATATTTAAATTTGCACTGTATTTTTGCTTTTGCACCTGAGATCTGGCTGATGCTTTTGCCTCAATTTGGGGGGGGAGTGCGGAATAATCCACCCCCCAAAAACCAACAGACCATAATGTTATAGTCATCACACTGTTAGAGTGAAAATGCTGTCATGTAGACACAGGAAGAACAGAATTCCTGGGTCAAAGGAAACTAGAGAAAGATGGTTTTCCTGATCTTTTAATCCTCTTTACTCAGTTCCCAATTTTTAGCTTTTCATTGCTGCTGTCACATTGCAGCTTCATTCAAGTAAACACTACTTACATTATTATGATTTATGAAAAGCTTTCTGCTTGTCTTACAGTCTTGTTACAAAAACTGATTGCTCTCAGTGCGACTACTTACTTGTCTTAAATCTCATGAAGATGGATTGTTTCAAAGGAATCAAAAATCAGGCATGCATTGGATTACACTGGGATCTGATAGCATGTTTTCCTGAATATGTTTTAATCACAGAATCACAGAATATTAGGAG